GATCTGTTCTCTTGAATTGGTCCATGCTTGTGGTGATAATGGCTTTGGAAATGTTTCTGTTGATCATCCCAAAAGAGTGGCTATGCATTTGAGAATTTCGTCATCATCAACGAGAGATCAATTGAGGGCTTCAATTTTTTTGATTCTTTTTTAATCTGAATTTATTCACGATCGGATGTTTCTTTTGAATGTTCTTCACGCATTGAATTGTGATATAAATTTTGATTTTTGGTTATAAATTCCATCACGGTTTGTTACAATGTTTTCAAAACCAGACTAGACCAGACGGTCGGACCAAAAAAATCAGAAACTGGTTGTTTTACCCTAGAATCGATTTTTGGCCAAAAACCATTGATTTGGTCAGCGAACCACTGACTCGGGTGGTTGAACCATTTGAACCATTCAAACCATCCAATGATTTTTGGCCATTTTTATTTATTTTTTGTCAGAACAGGCCATTCTTTCGGTTTGAATGGTTGGACCGTTCGACCTAGGAACCGAACCCTTGAATGGTTTGGTTTTAAAAACCTTGGTTTGTTGTAAAAATTGAAAGACAAGTGGAGATAAAAAACCATTATATCATTATTGTAAGCGTGAATCAACACTTGATAAGGATATTTTTGAAATAAAAAAAAACATTTTAAAAGGTTCCCCTACCTTTGCCTTCTTTTTCCTACTTTTTCCTTCAAACATAGCCTTAAGGTTTTTATTCAAACCTGTACAGGTTTTCCTACCTTTTCTTTTGAACCAAACACAGTCTAAATGCATGTTTAAACATATTTGCAATTTATAATGTTTATTTTATGCTTACTTTAATAATGATATAGAACAATTCAGATCTCCTACCAACACCTATGCATATGATACTTCAACCAAGGTTTTAAAAGGTTAAGGGCGTAGTTGAGGCCAAATGTCCCAAAAAGTTGAGGCACAAGCTTCAAATATTAAGAATAAAATTAATTAAAGTTTATAAATTGATAAAAGTAACATATAATATACCAAGTAAGAATGATGTACGGTATAAATATGCATAAAATAAAAGTTTATAAGCAATAAGTTTTAGCATTTAAGCATTAAATAAAATAATAACAAATCAACTAACAATTATAAACATTTTACATTTCATGTGTCAAAATGCAAAGTTCTTAAATAATTCAAACGACCAATTTAGAAGAAAGGGAACATATGAAAAATCATCCATATACATGGATATTAAATTTATAGTCATTCAATACTTTAGAAAAAAGAAAATAACTTGGCTAATTTGATCTATGCAAAAAAAAATATCAATAAAAGGTAAATCTATTAGGAAAAGAAATGAGAAAAATAACAAACTTAGGATGTTAGATTTAGAAATTAAGAACTTGATTGGCCCTTTTTGCCCTATTGGTTTAGAAATTAATAGAACTTGATTTCCCTTATTGCTATTTCATTTTTACTCTTTTTATTTATTTAGTTCATAATTATTGAAATGTTTCTATCATATATTTTGAATATAAAAATGTATGAAATAATTTCTTTTTTTTTGGCATTAAACCGCTAAACAATCCTTGATACTTGTGGCTTATGCCTTTTTACGCTTCAGGTTATACCTCATACCTTGAGGCTTGAGGTTTCACTCTTACAAAGGCTTAAGCCTATTAAAACAATGACTTCAGCTGTACATGAGAAACATCTCCCCGTGTATGGTAAGGTAACATCCAAATACGAGAGATGCTCTTAATGTGTGTAATGATGTTTGGTAGGTGTGGGTGGGATTTGGTAGGAGACCCAAATACGATATAAGAATCTCTAAAATAATCAGGAATCATTTGCTATTATTTATTTAAATAATATTTTAATGAAGGGAAAATTCCCGTTTAGTATACTGTACTTTGGGCCTAGTGCTACTTTGGTCCCCATACTTTAAAATGCAACAATTTAGTACCCAAAATTTTAAAGACAATCTAGTATCTACCGTTAAATAGCTGTTAATCAGTCGTTACGTGGCATTTGAAGAAGACACAAATGCCCTTAAGTGTTATTTAATTTTCTTTATCAACCATCTAAAAGTAGACAAAAAATTAACAGTCCTAAATCCTTGCCTTTTCCATTCAAGAAAGTTGGGGTCATGTTTGAGTGGGCATTATGGTGACTCCAACTTTCTTGAATAGAAGAGGCAAGGGTTTGAGACTGTTAATTTTTTGTCAATATTTGGATGGTTGATAAAGAAAATTAGATGACATTTGAAGGGTATTTTTATCTTTTTCAAATGCCACTTAACGGCTGGTTAACAACTAATTAATAGCAGGTATTGGATTGTCTTGTTTTGAAAATTCTAGTACTGAATTGTTGCATTTTAAAGTTCGAGGGACCAAAGTGGCACTAGGCCCAACCGTGCTCGCACGGTTGGAATCGAACCAAACTGAACCGAACCATGCTCACCCCTAGCTGGCACGACATGACACAACGGTGCTCGCACGGGCCCGTGGCCCAACACGACTCGGCATGCAACCTGGCCCATGGGCCCGTAGTGGTCCAAACACAACCTACCCGTGGAATATAGCCATTGGGGACCCCCCTACCAATGGCTACTCTTTTACTTTTTGGGGGGTTTTTTACATAAATACCTCCTAACAACTATAAACAACTAGTTGGTAGAAAAAATGACAACAATACCCCCAATAGCTATATAACAACTAGTTTGGAGGCATTTGGGAAAAGTGATAATTAGCTTTATAATGACCAAAATAACCTTCCAACAACTAAAAAACAACTAGTTTTGTAGGGTATTTTGAGCAACTAAATTAATTCTAACTCCTATAAATATCCTTTTTCTACACCATTCTTATCACACCAATTCTCGTATTCTCTCATACTCTCTTTACTCTCTCTCTCTAATTCTCAACTATATTCAAGTTTCAACAAGAAGAAGGCTTGCTCAAGTATCACAAGTTAGCAATTTGGGAGGCTTAAAGGATTCAATAGTTGAAATGAATTTGAGATTCCAAACCGGAAGATCAGGTAAGTTGCAATTAAATTAATTTTTAATTTTTAAAATTTTAGTACTATAATTTTTAAATGCCTGGCTCCTTTAAAAATCAATTTCCCAATACAACTTCAATGATGTTAATCGCAACATGATAGTGTCAACACCAGTATGGATGCTACTAATGTTGTCGGAGTTCCCTTCCCTAATACTATTACTAGGGGAAAGAAAAAAAGAAGGGCAATAAGTTGACTAGCCCTATCTAAAAATTATTTAGCACAAAAAAAGGTTGAGGGGAAAGGAAAAAGAACCATTTTCTATAAATGTAGGTGTTACTTCAGTTATAGTAACAAGGGCTGTAATGGCCATTTGGGCAAACATATGGCCGCTCATGACAAAAATGAAGAAGAAGGTAAACAATCATAACAAATAGAAATTGGGTGTGGGTTTGTTTTCAGTAATTTTAGATATTCTCAAGAAAGATGAGACAAGAATTAACAAAATATATTGCACATGCTGAACAATCATTTTTATTAGTTGAAAACACTAAGCTTGAAAGATTTTTATAACATTCTGTAAGTGAAACCCTGATGGTATAATTTTTTGTCTGATTTTTTCTTTGTGATTTAATTGATTTTTTGAATTTTTTTGGTTCATTTGATTCATCATCTTGCTTTGTACCAGCTAGGCAGAGGCTTTTCCATGACCTTGGATTCCATTTGGCCACAAAACAACCAATATGTACCCACCTAATTAAGCTCACTTGACCATCAATGACTTTTTTGACTTCTAATTAAGCTTTTGATTTTGACAAAATTCAAGTTTAATTATATTCTCTACATCGATCTAGGGTTTGCACTTAGCTTAATTAATTCCTTTTGCATTAGTTAGTTAGAAATAAGCTACTCATCAAGGAAGTTGTTGTCATTAACCCTATATATATATATATATATATGCTTGTTTAGTAAGCATGGATTAATTTTTCTAGAGATTTTTTTCTTTGGTAGGATTTCTAGAGACAACTTGAGATTGAAAGAAAATGACTCTAAAGGGATCACTTAACTCCATATTTTTATTTTTTACTGATTGATGAGGGAGCTCTTGATTCAACTGAATCAATCAATTAAGAGCTGCCCCTTCACTATGCCTTGATAAATCAAGAGGTGGACTCAACTTAACTTTTTTTTTTCTTTATTGCTCTCCTTTCATTGTGCCTTGATTAGGGTTTATATCTTCATAATTAAATGGACATTTGTCACTTCTTTGATAAGCCATTAAGGTTATCTTTAACTATACAAATTTTAATAAAGACAATAAGGTTATCTTTAACTCCTTAGTTTTGTATTGGTTTCATGTTGATTATATGACTTGCTGAACCCTCAAATTGCATATGATGATCATATGCTTAATTCTTTGTTTAATTAATCTTGCTTAATTTGTTTTGAAATTTCGTATGCATATTTTGTTTAATTTTCATATGATGATCAGATGCTGAAACTTTTGCTTAAATTTTTGCAAGCAATTTACTCACATTTCTAATGGAGTGATTTTACATTTTGGTTAATTATTTGCTTAATTATTTTTTGCTTATATGGAGTGATTTTACATTTTGGTTGGTTCTTTTAGTCAATGCAAGGTTTTAAATTTTATATTTTGTGTTTGTATGAAGCGATTTATTTTTGAGTTGAGTTTCTTTGATTGAACTAAGATGATGGAATCCTAAAGTGCAAATGCTAATACATCTGATCTAGCTCCATCACAAGAGTCCATTTCATCAAAGGTTAGGGCAAAAACTGATTCTGCTTGGGAGCATTTTTCCCTTAAAATTGACCATCTTAATGGATCAAAGTCAATGACATACCTTTATTATCAAAAGACTTTTAAAGGGTGAGGGGTTAATAAGATGAAACAACATCTTGCTTAAAGGAAAGGTGAAATTGCAATTTGTCGTAAAGTACCCCATGATGTAAGGTTCAAAATAGAGCAATCGTTGAATGAAATCAATGACAAAAAAAGAAATGAAAAGTAACCAATGAATTTTGTTGACACTAGAGCACAATGTGGAAGGAGTGATAATGATGATGGTATTGAGATTAGAGAAATAGATACACCTCGTACACATGATACTTATCAAGGGAAAAAACTAACTACATCATCAGGAAAGGGGAAAGCATCTTCAGGGCTAATAACTAGCCATTTTGCTCCATGGACCACTTCAGGTGCACAACCTGGAATTAAGAGTGTATTGGCATATAAGGGAGCAATTAATCATGAGGAATATGTTGTTATGAAGTGGTTGTGTGAAGCTTGTATTCCCTGGAATGCTTTGCGTTTAGGATATTTTCAGCCTATGTTGAATACCCTTGCTAGTATTGATCTAGGGTACAAAGCTCATTCATATTATAATTATATGACCAATTTGTTGAAGGATTTAGTTCAGGAGATGCAAATGTCAGTTGATAAACTCTATAAGGATTGGGCTACATATGGTTGCACTATAATGGCTGATGGTTGGACAGATACACATAGCTAAACATTGATTAATGTTTTAGTGTATTGTTCTACAGGAATTGCATTTGTGAAGTCTGTAGATGCTTATGAAATAGTCAAGAGTGCAAAGAATTTATTTCTTTTGGTTAAGGAAGTTATTAATTGGGTAAAATCAAAAAATGTTGTTCAGGTAGTCACTGACAATGTGGCGAATTATGTAGCTGCAGGAAGATTGTTAGAAGCAGAATTTCTATGAATATATTGGTCACCTTGTGCAGCACATTGTCTAAACTTGATGTTATAGGAAATTGGGGAAATGGATTATGTTGCAAATGTGGTTCAACGTGCATCTAGAATTACTAAGTTTGTTTACAAATATATTTCTATACTCTTAATGCTAAGGAAGAGACCCGGTTGGACTGAGATAGTACGTTTTGGAGCCACTCATTTTGCAACTAATTTTATTGCATTTAATAGCATTTTGAAACACATGCATGATTTACAAAATTTGGTGACAGACCGGAGTTTTATTGATTCCAGGTATGCAAAAGATGCAAAGGGGAAGGAAGTAATACAAATAGTTTTGGATTTTGAATTTTGGGCACAATGCAAAATGATTGTGGGTTTCACATCACCTCTTGTTAGTGCATTGAGATTTGCAGATTCTGAGTTTAGGTCTGCAATAAGGTATATGTATCATGCAATGTTGAAGGCAAAAGAATCACTGAAAAAACTTTTTAATTATAAGAAAGTTGAATATGGCCCAATCATGGACATTATTGATAGAAGATGGAGTAGACAAATGGGTCAGAGGCTTCATCTTGTAGGGTATTATTTTAACCCGACCTTTCAATATGATCCAAAATCAAAAGTTAAATCCCTGGCCGTTATGCCTGCAGTTTTTGATGTCATTGAAAAGCTTGCAATCAAATCGGATGATGTGGAGATAAAGCTGAACAAAGAGCTTATTCTTTTTGAAAATTGTCGTGGTAATATTGGAAGACCTTTCTTAGTGAAGACATTTATGTCAATGCCTCCAGGTAATAAATATTTTTTTCTTATAACATGTTTATTATTTCAATTTTCAATTTTATTTTATAAATTAAATCAACTTTATTTCATTGTATACAGGTGAATGGTGGTCAATATTTGGTTGTGACACTCCAAAATTGAAAATGATTGTTGTACGGATCCTTAGCTAGACATGTAGTTCATCTGGATGTAAACGCAATTGGAGTGTTTTTGAATGTATACACATGAAGAGAATGAATAGGTTAGAGAAACAGAGGCTCAATGACCTAGTATATGTTCATTGCAACCTGCATGTGATGGATGGGTAAGTGTTTAAACTTTTATGTTTCTTGATTGCTTTTTTTTAATGCTTTTATTGCATCCAATGTATCATTTATTGATTGTAGGAGAAAAACTGAAAGTCTTGACCCAATTAGGCATGAACATGTTGATGTTGTGGAAGATTGGATAATGCACAATGATGAAGATCCTTCATTACTTGATGTTAATGAGAAAGATGATATGTTTAAAGCCGATGAGACAACATTTCCAATAATGGAATCACCATCAAGAAAAAGAGCTAGGACTGAAGGTAACTATCATTGATATTATCTTAAATGACATTTCCATACTTGATTATTTTGGCTATTTTTTTAGTTCAAATTTTCTGTTTTTTGTTCTTTAGATGGTGATGATGAATTTTTCATTGAGCAATGGGGAATCATAGAGGAAAATGCAACCAAATACCCAAGTTGGTGATGTAGATGAAACACAACCTTCCGAAGATGAAGATGAAGATGATGGTGAAATACCACTTGGCTTTGGTTGGTAGTTGGTACCATTGAGAAGTGGGGCCAACATATCTTGAGAATTTGGATGATTAGATTAGTGAGCTGAACTCTATGTTGAAGTTTAAGTTTTGATTTATGTTTAATACTTGGTGAACTTGGTTTTCGATCCTTTTTATTACTTGTGATTGTGATCATTTTATTTTTGAGTATCTAAGTATTATGTTTGATGAATTGAGAATGCACGATATTATAGAAATATGTATGGAATCTTTTGCAAATTTTTTTTTTATTGTCTTCTTAGTGTTTTTGATTAGGAACTCCAGAGGAAACTCTGAAAGACTTGACCATCTAAAGGGGTCCCTCTCCATAAGGTGAAAGAAAGTACTCCTTTTATAGTTTACATTGCTTATGGCCTGGTAGAAGTTTTTCTTACATTTTTCTTTGTATAATTGGATTACAGGTTAAGAGTGCTTGTCAGAAACTCAAAGAAAGTAGAAGCTGAAAGCCTGAAATAGCTGCTCTGAAGATTTCATACCTCAAGAGAATTAACAAAGGTTCCAACATCATTATCCTTAACTCGTAAGTTCATTTCTTACCCTTTTAAGTTTTAACAACTCATATGTTAAAGATATCTAATTAATTGAAGTTTTGATTAAATTCAAAATTTAAATTAATTTTTTCTTTGCCAATTTCTGTTAATAATCATATTTGTCATCAGTTTGGTTGGATACTTGAGAGTTTGATCTATGGTATTTTATTATTAGAACAATAGATTTTTGTGGAAATCCTCATATTGAAGATTGGTTGAAATTATTCTGTAGATTTTCATGGAAACCCTTTTAAGTTTTAACTACAATTTCTTGAATTATAAGGCATGATGAGTTTGGGTTGCATAACTTGCATTTGCTTCGGTTGGCATTTAGCAAATCCTTTTTATTTCAAGATTAGATGTTGCTTTAATATGCGAAATTGATAAATTTAGTGTTTTCATTTTGAAACTGAACTAGATGTTTGATGAATCAAGTAAAATTGCACAACCAACAAAAAAGACTAGAAGTCAATTGTCAGTATCTCAAGGAATGATTTTGTTTCTCAATTATAAGTTATAAATTGTTTTTTCTGTTAATTAAAAATTTTATTTATCTAACTAATGGTAAGGTGCATTGAATTGTTATAATGGGTATTTTCTAATTAGTAGGGAGCAAGGGGACTAGATGGAAGAAGAAGAAGAAGAAGAAGAAGAAGAAGAAGAAGAAGAAGAAGAACCTGTGTTTGCAATGACTGATGAATGGATGAAATTCTTTGCAAAATCTGAAGCAAAAAGGAGACAATGTGCTTGTTCAACCCTTTTCTTAAACATACAAAATCTATTGGATGAGTTCTTGACAATTATATGTGATTCTAATGCACATAGAAGAAGCAAGCAAAGAACAAAGGCAAAAAGTGACAGACATTTTGAAGCGAACAAGGGCTAAAGGTGACCATGGGAGATAGGTAAAATCCATTTCTGTATTCTAGAGTTATGATCAAGGATTCCATCTTTTACTCATCCTTATGATGTAAATTTTCTTTCTTTAGTTCTAGTTGTTAAGCTTGTTAACAGGGCTATCACAACCAAGAGTTCCTTGTTTCTCAAAAGCTTTCAATGCCTTCACCCTAGTTTTTTGAACAAATATTATTTTTTAAGTAGCTCAATCATGTAAAGGAAATTTACAATAAATCCATTACAATCAAATGTTTATGCTATGAATCCATTTTCATTTGTATTCATCATTTTGATTTCATTATGATTAAAGGAAATTTACCATTTTCAATTGGTTAATTGAAGGTAATGTATTAGGACCTTAAATTCTTGTTTATTGAAAATGCTGCATTACATGAAACATATGGGTGATTATGACTGTAGTTTGATATATGATGAAAAAGAAACTGACTGTAATTACATGATTCTTGATTTGAAAAGATCTTGCTTATTAAAGGTGCTAAACCAATTTGAATATAATATGCTGTGATTGTCACACATGCTTTATTGATCTACTTCATTTCCACTTGTCAGAAGGACATTGCCATTTCTTTCCATTACACAAGTGAGCTATTTTGACTGGGATGTTTCATTAGTCAGTAGCAATTCTGTCCTTAAAGACCTTCGTATATATGTAGGTTGTAGTGTTTGGTTGCAACTATAAGTATATTACTAATATTTATTAGACTATCCCTTTATTGAAGAATGTAAAGAACTACAGATTTATTAGACTACCTCAAGGCAAGATGGAGTTAATCTGCCTTGCGTTGGGGCCTTGGGTTTTTGGTTTGAAAGAATGGAACAACTGAACCGTTTGACCTATGACAAATCACCCAAACCCTTCCATGTCTCATCCCAGCCTAACAAGTGATAAATCACCCAAACCCTTCCATGTCTCATCCCAGCCTGACAAGTGACAACATTTTTGGGTGAAAAACAGATAGAAAGCTCTCTCTCTCTCTATCTATCTATCAATCTATCTATCTACCTATCTACCTATCTATCTATATGTATATAGAAGCACTATATTTGTATATTCTTCTCACCAAAATCCAAAATATGAAGAAGTCAAGTAGCAGCGAAGAGCTGCTACATAGCTCCTTTTTGTATAGCTATCCATGCCCTGTTATGTTGGCATGGATGCTTTAGGTAGGCCAAAGGGTCTAAGTACTACAATTGGAATTTTTTCTATATTTTTTGGAAAAATTTCTGTATTTTTTTGTATTTTATTATTTTATTATTTTTATATTTTTCATATGTTGTTCCTTTTCCTATATTTTTATGTGTATTTCTTTTGTATTTTATTTAAAGTTTTATGGTATTTTTTATTATATATAAGTATTTTTTGTTTTTTTTTTATGTATTTATGATGTCATAGGTCAAACCGTTCGACCCAGACAATTAAACCACTGAACCAAAAAATGGTGCCCTGGCCGGTTCAGTTTTAAAAACCACACACACACACACACAGATATATATTTTAGAAGTTCTATAACAAGAAAATAAGAATTTAAATGCTAGATCCTATGATTAGGAAAGCTGATTTTATAATTGAAGATGACTGGAAATGAAAATTTGTATAAAAGATTTTTTACAAAATTTTTATGATACATCTAATGAATTTTCCGGTGTTTATTACCCAACTAGTTGTATTTTAGTTAATCAATTATTTATGATTAGTGAATGTTTTGCAAAATATAAAAATAATTCAAAATTTAAAGTTCTTAATGAAATAATGGAACTTAAATTTAAAAAATATTGGGGAAAAAATTCTTCTCTTTATAGTTTAGCTAAAATGCTAGATCCTATGATTAGGAAAGCTAATTTATATGTTTTACTTGAATCATATTGTGAAAATATGAATGGTGAAATTGAAAATAAAAAAGAAGAAATCAATAATTTATTGTTTGAAATGTATAGTTTATATGAATCTTAAATATTAGGGCATAGGAAAATTTGTATAGACGCAACTTCCACTTCTAAAACACCTAGTTCTAGTAGTGGAAGGGAAAAATTTTGGCCTTTAATAAATATAAGGCAAATATCTATTGCCACTTCATTTACTGAACTTATTTTTTATTTACAAGCTAATTTTTTCTAATGTAAATGAATGCTTCAGAGGAAATAAATAATTTTGATATTTTAGCCTGATGGAGTGAAAATGGAAAAAATTATTCAGTTCTTGTCACCATGACACGTGATCTACTAACCCTTTCGATGTCTGCAATTCCACCAGAGTCTTGTTTTAGTACAAGTACTAGGGTGTTAGATGACAAAAGAAACTGTATGAATGATGAAAGCCCAGAAATGTGCATATGCTTAAAAGATTGGTTGGATGATGATTGACACAAGATAAAGGAGGGCATGACACTTCACCTAGTGTTTCACGAGATGCAAATGATGTAGATTAGGGTCAAGAAGATGAAGATGGAGATGGAACTTGAAGAAAGTAAAGATAATAACTTTTTTTTTGTATACTCAATAATTGTATATCATTTTGATTTTTTGAAGTTATTGTAAATTTTGTTTTTCAGTATTATTTAAATTATTTGTTATTTTTTCAATAATACCTTTGTAATTTTTTATTTCCAATATATAATTTTATTATATTGTATTTTATATTTTATTCCGTTTCCAATATTTCATTCATCCATTTTATTATTCAAATTCAAATGAAATAAAATTTCTATTTTTTTCAATTTGTTGTTTATTTTGTATTTTGTTAATTTTTTTATTTTTCCAAAGTTTGTATCACTTTACTTGGCAAAAAATGAAAAAAAAAGTGTAAAAGAAAGGACTAGCCCAGTTTGGCCCAGGCCCTACGCTCGTGTTGACCTTTAAAGCATCCCAAAGGGGCCAAGCATGGCCCGACAAAGCATGGGCCACTCGTGGGCAGTGCCCAATTTACACATTTAATTAAGAGGATAATTAAAATTAATAATAAAAAGCAAGAAAATATTAAAAGTAATAAAATAAACCATTTTTATTCCATATAAAAATTATAAAAAAATAATTAAAATAAGGGCAAAAGACTTAAACCTCCCCTCAAATTTCTAATAAATACTATAAACTCCCCTCTAGTTTTTAAAAGAACTTAAACCTCCTTTATTAGAATAAACTATTGTTATAACGGGTGGAGTCAATAAATTAAAAGATTCCTTTGCCCTTAAATATCCTTCAAAATTTCAATCATTTGTTAATCATTTTGATATGTTATCTGAATTCAATTGGGACCCACATCTCCTTTATCTCATGATCAGAGGAAGTAAAAGGCTAAATTTCCATACAAACTCATTCCTAGCCGCATCTTTAATTATTCAAAACCGTTTATAAATTGTTAACAGTAGCATTTATGAAGTAATTTTATACGATTTTTCTTTATTTATATATTTTCAGCGGGTATTGTATTTAATTACCTGAAAAGCGTGACTAGGTTGTTCCAAGTGTCTTCCTCTGCAAACATTGTATTTGAACCGTCGTTGAAATACCGAATAATTAAACCGGTCTTTGGTAAAAAATTGTTGAATCAGTTAACGATTCATTAATCTGGACAGTTAAATTGTCAATTTATTGATCTGTTCAATGGATTTTAGCTATTTTTTATTTTTAATTTTAAAAATTTTTTAAAATAGACCATTCTTTCAAATCGAATAATCAAACCGTTGACCCAAAAATTAGTGGTTAAAATGATTCCGCTTTCGGGTCATTTTTTAAAACCATGATTACAAGTGAAGGCCTGAAACCTCCACTATGGACAAAACAAACTTGAAAACCTTGAATTAACACCGTCCATGCAATTTTGCCATTCTGAGTTCAAACCATGAAACCACCCCAAAATCTGTCGCTGAAACGTCAACTCGCTAGAAACCCATTAAAGATCATGCCATTAGAGCAATAGCGGTGTTGCTTCATAGATAAGCACCACTAAGGGCACTATTGGGTTTTCCAAAAAAATTAACATGTGAGGTTACATGAAATCGGATCTAACAGATTCCAAACAGAGGGGATGATATCACCAAACAAGGGAGGTAGTAATCCATTTGAAAAAGCGAGAGATGTATTAAGCATAAAAATTTCCTTAAAATAATAAAATTAATAATGGTCAGATTAGAAATGTCATAAGACTTCTTTTACTTAGCAATGGTCGTTTATAATTTAGCCAATCTAACTACATCTATAAATTTCAGGTTAAGTAATTATTTTCTGATCTAGGTCTAACTTGGATCTGTATCAAGTCCACATTTGGTTATTATGTAGGATTTCAGATTTAATATACAATCATCTTATTGTGTTTAAAATGACAAAAAAAAATAAAAGTTAAAAAAACTAATTATTTTTAAAGTATATATGTATAACAAATATATATAAATATAAAATTTTAAATTTATCAATTATAAACTTTGTATAATTATGCATAATACTATATATATATATATATATAACTATACTACATATATACATAAAATAATAGTTTTTTATTAGACTCAAATTTTAATAAGATTGGATGGGGTTAAATCTACATCCAGCCTGATTACTAATCAGATGCAAGTTTTAACATCCAAATATGAGATAAATGGATTCAAAGACTAATTGGTATTAGACTTTTGGAGTCTAATGACAGCCCTAGCGGACATGGTCCAACCTAAGTAACCCCTAAGCTTGACCTGGAAGTCATATACATATATGGTAAACATTATTATATAATATTTAGATAACAAATTTTATATTAATATATATATATATATATATATATATATAAATTTTTAT